TGAGTAGTTGCCTTTAGGTGGGGAGAATAGATGGTGATGAGGATGGACACATGGGACTTTTTAAGTGCTGGCAGTATTCTATTGCTTGGTAGTGTAGTAGTTTCATAAGTATTGTTTGTAATTATTAATTAGATTGTCCATTTGTTTTTCTGCAGTTTTATGTAAATACGTATATTTCATCATTTTTCAAAAAAGGAACTTTATGTGAAAGAGAAAAGGATGTCAGAGATGGAGGTATAGAAAGATTTATTCCCAAACCTGCTTCTCAAGATATAAAGCACTTGTGCAAGAAGTGTAGATAGGTTTGCCACCAAATATGTCCATTTTTGTTACTTGCAAGTGTAATTTGCAGATGGTGAAAAATAATCTGTGCTATACTAGTCTAATAAGTAAAAAATAATAAATGAAGATCTTTTTCGAGTCATAGAAGAAAAGATCCTAAAGCTTTAGAATCAAATTTGATAATTAATTTGTAGCATAATTATTTTCCCATGCTTTATGCATCTTTATTGATTAAAGCAATCTGTTGAATCATACCTAGAAGCAAGTTGACCAGGGGATCAGCAGAAAATTAATAGCAAGGAGAAAATGAGAATGTTCATCTTATCTAGAGAAACCAAGAAATTTTTATTACTCTTATTATTTTAAAATCGTCTGTGAATTCCTCTTTAAGGGAAACCCTTAATAGTTCCCCAGCAGTAACAGCATTGCAGAGTATTATCCAGTAATGAAAGAGAATGTTAATAAAATCATTTCTTTTTTATGTTGATATGGATCAAAGTTGCAACTTCAAAATACCAATGATAAAAATGAACCTTTTAAGAGTCTAGGTTCCTGCTTACCAAGGATAATATTCATTAACTAGAGTTCATTTCTCGTGCTCTGGATTAAAGAAATTATTTGCAAGCAAACAAGAAAAATTCTTCTTTAATTTGCTAATCATAAGGCACTACTTTTTGAAAAAGTGTGTCTTAAAAAATGGATCTTTAAATCACGTGGCAATCATAAAATATCCTCTGGTAGAGGTTTAGAGGGATGGCTTGAAGTTTGTATTGTATGCAAGAAACTGTAGAAGCAACATTTGCGAAAAACAAATTTCCAAATTGATTTATTTTTCAGATAAAGCCATACAATACTATTTAAATACCTGAAATATAAAAATGAATACTAATAAAACAGCCAAATATTCCACTGTAGAGCATAAAATCTCCAAGTGTTGTGAAGAGTATCATAAATACCTATCTTAAGAAGCTCAATTAAAGTTTGGAAATAATAATTTTGTTGTTAAATCTCTAAAGAGCTGCAATAGTGAGATCACCTTGAGGTAGAATCCAGAAAAGCTAGTTTTAAATATTGTACTCCTGGAGCAATGATTGATTGATTCTCTAGTGTAAATTTCTTGGTAATGTCTGTTTAGAGACCTCTAAGAAATTAAGGAGTGTGTGTGTGTGTGTGTGTGTGTACACATACAAAAGAGAATCTGTTAGTGTAGCAACAACCCTTTTTGGTGCCCTCATCTGGGCAGAACTAGAGAGTTTGGTAATAATCTCCATGTGACGGAAGATGGCTTATGTTGAGGAATGGAATTGTATGTATGATTTTTCTTTAATTATTGATTAAAATGATCACTAAGCAACAGAGTGTCTAGAGCTTTTCCGTTGTATTATATTATCTCTCTTTCCTAATTTATTTACCCTCAAGTGAGAAAACTAAAATACTGACTTGGAAATAAAGACAAAATACACCAAGGGGGATCATTGGGCAGTAGCAGATTTAGAAGTGACCTTGGACATCACTTAATACAGTGGATTCGAGCTATGCTTTGGGAAGTCTGGGAATTCTGACAATTTGAGGAGAGAAGGGTGGATCTGGATGGAGTCTCTGGGAGGCTGGGGTCTGGGCATCTCCCCCTCAGATTCATATTGGATGGATGTTTTTTGTCCATTTTATTTATCTGGTACCTTCCACTTAAAATTTCGTTTTAAGAACAAATAAAGCAAGATAGTTTGAAAGCCACTGCTTTAGTACCTAATCCTCCCACGTCTAGCTTTCACATTTGAGTAAACTGAGACCCAGTAAAGTTATAGCTTCTTGAAGACTTCATGGCTGGTAGTGGCAGAGACAAGAAGAGAAGCCATATTTTCATGTCTGATGGGGCTGTTCCCCTGACAACATCGACAACATTCTGCCTCCTAGTACTCGTAGCCGTCTACTCTTTACTGGATTTCTTAATGGTAATACCTTATTTAGCATCTTTAATACCCACTTCTCCATACCTCTTCATGTGCTAGTCATGTAAGGAACACAAGAGAAGATACAATTAGTCATGATCTTACAAGAAAGTGATGGAGAGGTTTTTAAAATACCAGTGTCAGGGAGAGTTTGCTAGAAGAGTCTTTGTTTGTGGATATGCCCCGTAATTGTGCCCTGATATTAAGGCAGCTCGTCTCAAATATAAGTGCCATGACATGGTGCAGATGGCGACTAAGAAGCCCAGAACTGAAAAAACTATGAATTGAAATTAGAAATATTTTCACACTAAGTACATAAGATTCACTAGATAAAGTGTCTGACATCTGAGTCAGCATCACAGCTTTATGGGATATAGCAAAAAGTGGGAAACTGGCGGGTGACGTGTAAATGTTGGTAGACGTGCTCGTCTGACTTAGTTCAAGCCAAGGACTTACTCTTGATTTTTCCGGGGAAAATCATGTGGCAAGTTGAAGAAAATAGCCTTAGGTAGCAATACTTTTTCTTCTACATTTCTTCTGTTTTTCCCTCCCTTCCTTCTTTTCTTCCTTTCAAGGAGTAGTAATTGAGTACCCATTATGCGCCAGACACTATCAGCTGTAAAATCTTTCTTGTACCAAGAGAAGTTAAAATGAGAATATCTTTTCTTGGGGCAGGAATTGGAACTTCCACATGACTGGAATAAAAATGTCTTCAATCTCAGCTTTTCAAGTGAGGTTGTGTCTAGAGGGGGTGTTGATTATCGTATTCTGGAAACTCAAAAATTCTACTCTTTTCTCTGGTTTCTGTCAATCGAAAAATGGAAATACCATTTGTAGAAGCATATGTTATATAAATTAATTGCTAAAGTAGGATGCCTAGGGCTTGGCAAAAAGGGTGGGGACGTTAACTGAGAGTAGAATTGTCTGCAGGAGTTGTGGCATTTATTGACTCAGGGATCTTTGGGTGTTTGAAGGCAAAACCCAGAGAGCTGACCTATATTTCTCCTGGTGGAAGATGAGCCTCCTAGTTCAACTAACTGCTTACCAGGAAATTCAGCTTTCTCTGAATTAACTCTAAATCATTGTAATCCTATATCTGAAGTTCAGGTTCCTAATTTACTCTTGTGTGGCTGTGTTTAATCCTGCTGCTTTTGCTTATGAATGACCATACCAAGAGATATTGTCAGATAAGATGGCCACATTCAAACATCCATATGAGTATTTGGCAAAGCTTTTCATAAGCCAAAATGGAATAGTTATTCTTTTTGTTGCATTTAATTGATATCTTTTCCAAATGAGTGTTGAAATGCTCACTATAATGACATGTTTCCACTTTTGTAGGTTTTCACTTGCGTTAGAGGGTAAAATAGAGAAGTTGATATCAATGAAGCACAACTTTCAATGAGAAGAATTTCACTGGGGCCTTATTTATGGCTGAATGTGAAAGCAAGAAACTAAATTTCTTATCATTCACTTATGTCTTGATAGAATTCTATGGGAGAGCCCCAACAATTTGGCAAGCCTATTAATAGTTGTAGTAACGTCACTAATGTTGTTGCTTTTGTAACAGTAGTTCCGTTACTGGACTTTCCTCAGGCAACCCACAAAGCTTTATGTTTCCTCTAAATCAAATGTGAGTATCATAAACAAAATGGAGTACAGTGATGGCAATGAATTAGTTTATGTATTTGTTCATTCATCTATTCATCCTTTCAAGAGTATGGCCCACTATGCATTGGACAACACAGGGCTGAGTAGAAATTGATCTAGTTAAAATTTTGTAGCAAACAGTGGTATTTGCACCTCCCTGTCTACTCATTTGCAATCTGTACTCTGGGCTCCCAGCGAGGGGCCCAGGAATAAGAGCGTAGAATGCGTATCTCACAGGTGTTAGTGCTTGGAATGATTGATGAAATTTAAATTTGGAATCAAACGCCAGCTTTCTAAGGTGTTCATAATCGCCTCAATAAGCTGATGTTAACTCTTAGGTCAATTTTGGGGAGCAAAGAACAGAATCTGCCTTTCGGAAGAAGGCCAACATCTAGGCCAGAATGTTCTGAATTTTAAGCTGCAGTTCATCTGGATATTGTCACTAATCAAAGCACCTTCTTCAGTTATTGTGGATGCTTGTAAACTGCAGGCTGCACACAGTTCATAGATTTGGCTGCTTTTCCATAGCTGCTATGAAAATTGCAAACAAAATTGCTTTTCATTTTGCTTTGACAGGCAGTTTTAATTTTATTCATCATTTTAGCAAATTGTGTAACATTTCAGTTGTGCGTGGCATTGTCTTTGTCTTTTTTTGCACTATATTTATGCTGAAAATATGAATACAACAATAAAGAAGAGACCAATAATAGCATCTTATAGTAAAAAAGGCTTATTAAAAGGATATTTTCTGCCTGGGTGAAAAACTTCCTTGAACACGTCATAAATAGTTTATAACACACAGTGCTACACTTTTATTCTCTGTAGAAGTTGATTGTCTATCTCGCCACATTTTTAAAATTAAAAAATCATTTCCCCCCAATTTTGAATTTATGTTTGGTTTGGCCAGAACTTTTCGTAACTTAATTCGACAATGACTATCTTTTTGAAGTCATCAAAGGGACTAAGTAAATCTTGGATGAAGAAGAGAGTTGGGGGTAAATGGGGAGTGTGCTGGCTAGGGAAAGATGGGGGAAGCTCGTAAAGATTTATCTGATAAGAAAGTATATACATTTTCATTTTGTAGAAAAATTACAAATACCATAACAGCCAATGGGTTGGTTTTATTACGTGCTTCCAGAGCTCTTCATTGTGGTTTCAGCAATATGAGGAGCTCTGCGAGCATGTAATAAAA